AATACAAACTTTAAATGTACAAACATAGGGTTTTAATGTAAAAACACCCAAACACATGCTTCAATCAGTTGTATCAAAAACTTGAAAAAAAAGCAACACATTTTTTAAATTTCCAAAATGCGCCTGCCCATGCGGTTGAAATTCAACTCCCTCTTTGACCAAAACTCAATCTTATATGGTATAAGGATACTTGACGTTTCATATTAATTGCTACTTCACTAGAAACAACGGTCACATTAGCAACATCCAGATTGGACTTGATATAATCAAGGGTAAAATACCAAAAAACTTCCTGTAATTTGACAAATATTCAATTTAATTCCCTCTGGTTTGGAAACCTACACTATAACTTCATGTGGTTTTGACTAAATTGAAAATTGGACAGAAAGTATAAAATCTAACGGTTGTCTGTGAAATGTCAATATTTCCCCTACCATATGTGAGATGCTTTTTATTCAATTTTCAATTTAGTTGAAACCGTAGGGAGTCCTAATATAATTTTGCAAACCAAAGAGAGTTCAATTGAACATTCGACAAATCATAGGGAGTTCATTTATATAGGGACAATATTGACATTTCACATATAATCGTTAGATTAAATACTTTCCATCCAATTTTCAATTTAGTTAAAATCATGGGGAGTTATAGTGTAAATTTTCAACTCAGATGGAGTTAAATTGAACATTTAACAAACTATAAGGAGATTTTTGGTATTTTACCCGATAATCAAATAATTACTTGGCTAGTTGTCATATGCATCAGTATCCCATTCAGTATTCAGAACAAATTTTTGTTACTCAGAACAACTTAAACTAATCATAGAAGACAAAACTCCTCAAAGTTAACGCCCAAAAAACTATAAGCCAGTTCCGGTGGATATGAACCATCGAAACAAAACTTATTGCATTCACATGCAGGAGGATGGAATCATTACGTGATTCAAAAATTGATCAAATTATATGGTAGAATTAAGTAAATCTTATATATACTGAGAGTGTATACACTTTCACTGTTAAATTTATAATATCTATGTAAAAATTGAATTTCAAATTTAATTTTTTTATAATTATCATTTATCTAATGATGACAGTATATACGCTATTGGCGTGGAAAGATTAATTCGGAAGAGTTTGTTTCCATTTACATAGTTGATGAATTGTCCTCGTTTGTTCCTTAAGGTGAGCAGTTGTCCAAGAAACAAAAGTAATTGACGTGTGATATTTGACGTTTTGAACTTTGCTCCAAGTATTTCGTCCTACTTAAACTGAAGATACGTTATTCTTTGGATTAATTAGATTTGTTTCCGGTTTTTCTTTTATCAAATTAGTCTCCCTCAGATTCAGAAGAGCCAATTTGACTTGAGAGTCAACAATTATTAACCCCATGCAATTACATTGGAACAGCTGTTAATCCAATACAGAGCCAAAAAGTGGTTATTCAATTTTTTTAGTTATATTTCAAGATTAAATGACACGAATCCAATAAAATGGTCAGAAAAAATAGAAAGCAAACCTAGTTCCAGAAGAAGATAAATAAACGTTCCCATTCTAGATGGCAATCGTAGCATCTTATTTTGCGTCACTATAGCAATTGGCACAACAAACCAACGCAGTTGGGCTGAGTTGGCTACCACGAATAGACTTAAAACTCTTCTTGGATGTAGGTCAAGAAATCAAATTTCTTGAATCTCCGGAATTTCCGAAAAGTGTCACCAGGGGGTGCATAAGCACCCATTTGCACCGGTAGCGATTCCGTCCTTTTTAGGTTCTCCATTGACCTCTTTAGATCCACCGCTTCTGCATAATGTAGAATTGGAGTAAAATTGGCTCAACAACTTATGTCTGATTTTTAATCCCTAATCACATGAACATTTGAGAGTTGAGAGCACTAATTCCAGTTAAGGCATTATCTCAGCAATAAGGAGCCAAGTATTTAAAGTGAATCTCCCCTAGATTAATGATGAGTTATAATAGGAACTCACAATTTTCTAGCAAATGCGGCTCTTTTGATAGGAACTCACAATTTTCAGTCTGTGCTTTATAAATTGATTCAACATAAAATAAAAAATGAGATCTCCATTGGATAATGGTTGGGAGTTGCGTTGCCTTTTTAGAGGAGATATATAGTTACGTTGATACATAAAAATAAATAAATATTGAGATCTTATGATATGATACGAGCCTTTCAAAAGTTGAACAGGTATTAGAAGTGCATTTGGTTGATTCAATACTGATGAAGGAAGTCACTAAAAACAAATTTATTAGATTGCTATAATGAGGAATAGCCCAAGATTAGCAAGGAAGACTTTGAACAATATCAGAGTCAAAAGCGTGGCAGCAAAATATATTAGAAACTAAACCTAGCAGGTTCGATTTATATTTAGAAATCTCAATGTATTTAAAAACATTAGACCTGGCAATTATGCCCAAAACCCAACAACCCACCCACTAATTTGAGAGGTTGGATTGGGTAAGTTGGATATTGGGTCAAATTTTGAGTTGGGTAATAAAAACCCACATATATTTTGGGCGATTTGGGTATTTGTGTTAAGCACCCAATACCCAACTTAAATTAAAAAAACAAATAAACAAATTACAAGGGATGAGATATGGGATACAAAACATTTCATTGTTCATGAAACAGCATGAGACATGAGCCAAAGCAGGGCCTCCATGTATGGATACTTAACAAAATTATATGAGCTACTTAGCTATAATACCTATGTGCATGCGTCGACGTTTTATTATTTTCCTATATTCAGAGTATTCCACTCCTTTTACTTCCATAATATTTTTGGTCACTTCTTCTTTTGTCATGCAATCAAATATAAGCCCATTTGGATTGTTATTTTTTGAAAATTTTATAAAAAAAAATATACTCTAACAATTTAATATATAATAACAAAATAATTAAAAAATACGTTCAATAAAACATAAAAAAAATTTTGGGAAAACATAACAATCCAAGAACGTTTGCAACACCATATCATATGTGTGCCTTTCCCACTTCTTGTTTTACTAGTACGCCATTCCCATTCTCAGTTCTGGTAGACAAGCGCAGAGTTGGACATTAAAGAGATCTTAATTGATCAAGGCAACTACCCTTGCTTTCATAACACGATTCCTTCTTTATTTTACTGCAAAATACACACTACGCTAAATCCATTTCTGACACCACTAACCCACGCCAAAACCCCTATCTCCTCCCATATCATACATGTGTATTTTAGTGTGTCTATATGTGTAAAAATAAAGTATTTCAAAAGAGCTTAAAAAGTGAGTGTGCGTTTGTATCTGTAAGTGTTTTAGTGTGTGAAAATATATCTATCTATGTGAAAATGTGTTTATTGTGTGAATTTTTTTTTTGTATGTGAAAATATATTTGAGAGAGTTTATTTATCAAAATCTATTAATTAATATATTGGGTCATGGGTTTGAAATGACCCAATATGATCCAACCCAAAATTAATTCAATCTAAAGTTGGACGAGTTAAATGTAACCCATTTAAATGAAAACCCAATATTAACCCGCCCAATTGCTAGGTATAAGAAACATATTATCATTTTCACACTACATCACTTGATAGATAATTTTTTTAAAATAAAAAATCATACTTTGATTAAACCTGCATTAATGGCAGAAATTACATCACACATGCACAGATACAATATATTTGAAGAACCCCAGCAAATACTATAAATCTACAGAATTAATAAAATTACACTGTAAATCTCTAACAATACTAAAAAATCAGTTTTATAAAGATAACACTTATAACCGCCACAACTGTGCATGTTTGAACTGTCAGATCTACTGATTAACTGTTTCAAATTCACATTCATGATAGATACTTTTTACTAAATGTTATTTGGCAAGGCCAAGCATTTCTTTTCAAGAATTTGCATCAACATCCTATTACGTAACTTTGATGGAAGACAACTTCTAGATGTATATTAGAGTACAATTAAGCATGCCGTAACTGCTATAAGCATCCAAATAGACACACCACATGGAAATTGATAAACATGTGATTAAGGAACCATAATTGGCCTGTGTCTCTTTCTCATACATGATAATTGCCCTCATTTGTTTGGATTGAAGAGGGCAAACCTTCCGAAAGAACTGAAGTCTGTCATGTTAGATGTTGAGACATTAAACTTCACTCATTTTGTTGTTTGCTGCAAGCATTGAGGAATTGAAGCTTTCGGCCGTTTTAAGAGTATAAACGACATTATCAACTTTTGCATTAGTTTTTGTCGTTTCTTTTGTACCAAGGGAAAAACTGATATCTTTTGCATAATTCCTCCTCCCACATGCATTTAAATAAACTTTTAGAATCGCCAAACCCAATTTTGACACTGAAACGTAAACTTCTTGTTAACATATGACTTCATTATGTGATCCAATTTTAAGTAGATCACCCAATGGACCAGCAAGCATATGATTATCCTATACTAGTAAATCAATAAAAAATAAATAAACAAAAGAACCCATCCTGAAGACAATTCAATGCCATGTAGCCAGTAACGAGTGATATTTAGTGTATTCTGCATTGTAATCATGCAAATTTGGGCACAATTAGCCGTCCACAAGACTTGAGGAAATGCCTTAAAAAATGAAACCCAAACCCATCTTATAGCTCATTTCATCATTTTTCATCATCTTGAATAACCATACCGTCCAAGCTATAAAGGCTACCATTTGGTTGGCAACAAGAAGATGAAGCTTATTATGTTATTAGACATTTTCCCTTGCATGAAGCCCTTGAAATGGCCAATCAATCACTCAAGCGGCCACAAGAAGTTGAAAACTTGAAGCATGCATGTTTACTGAAACACACTCTTTGTTAGTAGCCCCAAAATGGACAATGCTAACCCGGCACATACAGAGATAAATTTCATCTTAAGATATTCAAGGACATATGGATCAATCAAATTTCTGTAGCTCAAAAAACTAAAAAAAAAAAAAAAAAAAATTTGATAACAATTCATACAGCTAAATTAGCAAATGGATAACTGAGATCAATTATATTAGCCGTTTGGAATCCAGAGGACATCCAAAAGGGCTAAACTCTTGAGCTGCCCAAGCACCCCTTAAGTAATCCAACAAAATATATCCATAAAGCATCCTTCTCCAGTTCCAAACTAAACCTAGCACCATATCAATGATGCAGTTCCCAAGGGTAGAAACTAGAAAGGTTAAAGGATGAAAGCACCGACCATAACCGCATAAACACAAATAATTTTCAAGAGGAAGCTGATAACACTAAGGCATTTTATGGGACATTCTGCAAGGAAAACAAAGGATCAAATTCAACTCAATCCAATTTTACATAGCAGATCCCGCCAAAATCTTATATCTAAAGAGTTTGGCAGGCTAAAAACAGAGAGTAGCACATATGCATCAACAAACACAGAGTTCCTCATTCTTCAGCAGCACTGGCAGCACTTAGATCCACATTGAGGTCAAGAACCTGATTAGCAGACAATTACTTAGTCATTAGTATCTACAAGCTACAAACAGCAACATGGTTCCAACTGCCAGGTAGTAAAAGGCCTTGTTGGAACAACTTAACAAGACACATAAGCCAACTCATATCCTTAGCCAGCAAAACAAGGGGGAAAATACCACAAAAAAAAAAGGTTTCATTTGAAATTCTGCAACAAATATGTTGAAGGGAGCCATAATGAAGGGTAAAAAGAGAAGAATAAGATGGCAGAAATAAAGAATAGCTCGCACAAAAAATGAACTGAATATTGATTTCAGAAATATCAACTTAAGGACTGCTTAAGAGCATGCAATTAACAAAGTAACATGCTTGTGGCCAACATTTTTAATAGTCATTACACTATAATATTGATATTTCTAGAACAACCACCCTCAATGTTTATTCAATTCTCACGCTCTCCTTTTCAAATTCATTTCCTTTCTTGACTTTTCTTTTGATTTTTTACTTCCTCCTTCGCTTCCCTTCTCCTCCTCCCTACCAATCCACCACCTCCCAGCTCCTTTCTTCCCATCACCCATTAAAATTTAAAAAAAAATAAAAATTTGTCCATCAGACCTTGGCACCAACCCCAAGCCCACACACACTTGCAAGTTTGAAAATAAAAAAATAAAAAATAATAAAAAAAAATATCAAGTATTCTCGCTAGAGATTAGTCTGAATATCAGGGAGTATTGGGTGACTGCCAAACTATTTTTTGCCATTGGGGTTTGGTACGCTAGGAAACAAGGTGGATATGCTGCCCCTTTTTTTGTGGTAAAAAAGGTCTGCATTACATCAGTGAGGGATGAAGGCAAGGACAGGAAAAAGAAAAAGCCAAGGGAATTAAAAAAAGTACATAAATTCCAATGGCTTTTTATCCAGAAACATGAATTTTGGAGATGGTGACTAGAAAAAAAGTTCTCAGAGATGTAGATTAATCAACCTCAAGAATGTAATAAGCAACCTCAAATAAGAAATGTCAAGCCATAACTGAATGCTGCTCCAAAAATCAAATGTGATGTTTCAACTTACAACTTAGTAGTCATCTTCCCTCAATGAGAACAGTATAGCTGGCTATGCATTAAGCAAGGTCTACTTCACATAAATCAGACATTGTCTTTTGTTCATTCGGTCGTCGGGAATGGACTCTGTTTTGCATTTATTTATTATCTTATGGACTATTTGTTAAAGAAAAACCAATTTGCATGCAAAGTCTCCACAAAAATGTCGGAATTCCCTATACGCATCTCATTCAACTCCACAGACACATCATATATTAACATGTACAACATGAATTAGAACAGATAATCAATCTACTGTACAACCTAAGCATTAGGCCATCTTAAATATGTTTATCCTGATTTGTTTTAACAGTTATCTTAGCACCACCTTCCACAGTAAGAGGAACACACAATCAGTACTTCACCATAAACAAATCCTATTCGTTGTGTAGACCAAAACATTTATACTCATCAATCAAACTTGCAAGTTCAACTAAAAAATTTTCTAGATACCTATAACATATACTATCATGCAAAGCAGGGTAACTGTCACTACTAATGATTGAATGATCTAAAAGTATACTCAGACAGAGTCACTACTCGGGCAATTTTGAACAAAATTTTGAAGATCTCTTAGGTGTGAGCCCTGACTTCTCTTCTCTCCTCCCTCTTCTCCTTCTTGCCTAATTTCTGCAAATCTGCTAATTTTTTACTTAGTTTTGAATTCATATGTAACAGCCTGTAGCAAGCTATGTTCCCAATCAGCATCAATATCTATAAACATCATCCAAGTATGATAAAATTCAGCTCACAATGAGCTGCAAATCTCAGAGGTTTTAAAACTCCTAAGTCTACTAAAACTAAGCCTATATCAGTGTGCTGATTAAATATCCTGAGTCAACGTATAACTGAAGAATGTAAATCTAGTGGTTAAAATGTTAAACCAAGTTCCGGTAAAGATTTATCAATGGATTGACTAGATAGAAGGAACCAGCAGTGAGCGTGCATAGAAGCATCAGACAAACAAAAATTAATCCACAACCAGAACATGCAGTTAAAAACGACATGTACAAATATCTGTACTCCAAAACTCAAGCACTTTCATCCCTACCTTTCCAGTGATCATGGTATACATATTGAGCACATCCACAACAGTTGACTCAAAATGTGTTGTCGGATCATAACTCTGTTTCATTGAACAAAAGGTACGCCATGTGAGAGAAGTTTCATAATGAAGCAGTCTCATGAAAATGACAGTCAAGAGACACTCACTGTTGATATGAAACAATTGTCAAGAGAAGGCTCATTGACTGGTTCATATCTGTCATAAATATCAAAGAATATCTCGTCCACAGGCCCAAGAAGATCAATCCCCGGCTTAAGTTCAGTCTCAGGGTGATCAGTCTCAGCTTCTGTTGAGACAAATGCAATGAACTTTCCTTTTGGTGCAACATTGTGAGAGTAAGAAGAACAGAATACATACCTACAAAACCAACAGTTCCAATAAGTCAGACAAATTAGTTGGCACCTTTGAATGTCAAATGCTATAAATTTACTTGTTACCGATAAAAACAATTACAGAACAAGACAAAACCAATTGTACCATCAACACGATCAAGCAGTTTTTTTCAGACCCTTCCTTTCAAGAAGGCAATGAAATTCAAAATAATAGAGTTGCATGAAGAATGATGAGAAATGACATGCCACAGAGCAGAAGCAACTACTATTATTTTATTAATCTCCGCATAAGCTTCTCCTTCAGATCGCTTTTGCTTCGTCATAACACTCATACAAAACTTAATGCAGGAACAAACTGACCAAAACATGGTTTTCTGAGTGACATGAGGGAGAACTCATTTTGCCAAACTACCATTTTAACAAGTGAAGTATGCCCTGGGAAAATATCATTCCAGCATTTCTTCTGATACAAATTGTCTGTATTAAACTCAAGAATATTTTACAACAAAAAAGAAGATGATCATAAAAGAGGTTATTTTCAAGACATCAGACATATACTCACATGTCTGAGCGGCGACCCAACTGTTTCTGAGGGAGAATAATCTGCACTGAATGAGAATCATTGGTGTTTGGAATGGGATGGCTCATAATTGCAATTGCTCGAGCAACTTTTCCAACTTTCCTAACCTGGAAAAATACACATTTTAGGCTGTACAAACAACACCTGGACACTTGTATAGGAGATTTAAGATATCCCTGCTTCTAGCATACTGGCTGATAAAGAAAGACAAAAGTAAACATTAACTTTATCCTTGGCATAAAGTTAGAACAGCTACAAAGCCCGGATCTTGAAAGCTCAAGGAACCTTTTTACAGAAAGAAACTGCAGTATGAGGTAAAGTACCTTGTTGGTCAAGTAGGAAGGATCACAAACAACTTTCTTGCACTTAGCTGTTTCCCCTTCGGATGTGACACCCATGACTTTTCCTTCCTCATCGAACTCTACCTGGAAATTGAGTGCAACTCCATGTCACGTGTTGATCTTTTACACAGATGCGTAATCATCCTAGTATTCTGTCCTCTTTGTCCCTTAGTTTGTTACTTCTCTTAGAAGTTTGGGAAATAGTAAAGGAGCCATGACAATACGTACCTTGCACTCAGGTTTGTTCAACATATAGGTCCCACCATAGACAGCACTTAAACGGCGAATGCCTAAATGTCAATGAAAATATCAAGTACATAAGAGTGTTCAATGAGAAATTTAACAGACAGTTATAGCTGACATATAATCGAAGTAACAACAGAAGATTAAGAAGAGATAAAAGAGCATGGCGCATACACGCCAGAGTCTACTTCAAAGAGCAGCAGGAAGAACAGTAATAGGCAAACCTGAGGAAGCTCCCCAACCCATACAGAGGGTAAATGTATGGTGAACCTCCTCCAAAACGAGCTAGAGACTCCTCATACAACTGTCAGATTATTAAGAGAATTTAGACAAGTGCAGCAAAAATTCACTCATCATTAATCAAAGCCTCGAAAGCAATATACAACCAGTGCCTCAAAATATGTTCTTACTTTTACTCTCTTAACAGTGTCCAATGCAGGCTCATCCAAGTAGTGATCATCTCTATAGAGTGCCAATGCATGGCCAATAAAGTCCATAGTGTTGTCATCAAGACCAAATTTTCTGTCAATAGCAGAATCCAAGTTAGTCCACATTCTTTTACTGAGAAAGTAGATTCTGGTTCACAAACCAGATAACTTGAAAAATTCTTAACACAGTACACAAACTACAGAGACCATTCCCAACATTGGACTTCAAAACTTTTTTGATACATGCTTAGAGCAAGTGTTTTAAGGCTAATGACATACGCAATGAACTCCCTAGTAGTCACTCGTGTCAGATCCATCCCTTCATGTGTTTTTGGATCATTCTCATTATAAGCCTGGACATATATGAAGAACTTGCGAGCACGACGCTTTTCAAAAATACCCATCAAAGGAGATTTAAGGGCCTCCATGTCAGTTGCAGGAACCTTGTGAACCTGTTGCAGTACAGAACTTGAAACTTAAGATGATGACTTGAACAATTCATAGTTGCAGATACAGGGATTTTTATTTCAAAGGATATTATTATACCTTGCCCTTGCTATAGACATAGCTACCATCAACAGCCTTGAAGTACAAGTATTTAGTTACATCAGTATGAATGAGGACCCTTACAAGAGCACCATTTGCCATTATAAACTGAAAAGAAAAACTAGTTAGTCAGAATGATAATCAGTATCAAAGACAAACAAAAATGTTCTTAAGAGTGTAAATCAAAACCTTCAAAAAAAAAAGAAAAAAGAAGAAAAACCTTTGGCATCATGTCAACATTGTAATCCCGGCTAGAACCGAGGTTTGATGGAGGATTATCACTTCCTCTGAACTTCTTCCATAGCTGCAATGAATCATGCCACAGAAAATGTCAAAAAGTTCAAAGGTTGCATCTACAGCCCTTCAAACATCCAGGATATATACCTGAACAAGATTAAGTGAAGTAGATTCTCCTCCATAATAGTCATTTCTATCCATATGCAGAACCTATTCAAAAAAAATGAAGCATCACAACAACTTCAGACCGAGGGCTAAGAAAATAAATAGCCAAGGAAATTTATAAAAACTCTGAATCGTAGTTTTGGTAATTACTAAAGCCTAATAAAGAAACAACACATTTGTATTCTGGAAAGAAAGGAAAAGCAATAGTAATACTTTTTACAACTAAAGAAGTTTCATTACTATCATTTCCATGCAATACAAATACTTTACCAAAACAAAAGAAGTTTCATTAATTCATTTCCATATCCAATTCCCACAAAAATGAAATTCCAAATTCTGTAAGATTAATTCATTTCTTTCCCTTTATCTCCACAATCGCAAACCAACCCAAATCAGAAGACCAAAATGCTCATTTTCTCCAAGAGCTTATTGCTTCAATTCAAGAAACTGTAGACATGCCCTAAATCAATGTTTTCTTCTTCAGAAGTTTACAACTATTCAACCACGGTACAGTATGTATATATATATTAAGATGGATTTTCCACATTATACCACAAATCATACACATTAGATCCATTCTCGCCTTTAAATCAGTATTTCTAATTAAGCCCAACCATGTTTCCCCAAATGACAGATACTATAAGCTGCATTTACAGACCAAATTGTAAACAATCTTGCATAGATCATCCAGCCAAGAAAAAATTCTCTTGCAACTTTCTTAATAACAAGCAAACTCACACTAGCACAAAACACAGATTAGAAACATTTACTCTTTCAATGATTACCCATGTTAGTACAAGCTAAACACTAAAAATATACAATTTTGCACTTCCATCTAATAATTTATTTGACTAAACATAAACAATACGAATCCTTCGACCTCCACACTCTGTCAACGAATAGCAAGCCACAGCAACTTAACAACTTTCCCGGCTAAAGTACAACTAATTTTATGGTACCCATCGATCTCAAAACCTCGAATTTACTGCCTACAGAATAAAACCAAAAACGGTGAACGAAACATCAAATCCACAATTTGGGAATTGATTGAGCTGAAAATGAAAACTTCAATCAAAAACGGATTGGAAAAAAATGGAATTATGCATAAAGAAAGGACAAAAAGTTGAAAAGAAACCTTAAGGCCATCGACGGAGAGAGACCACTGAGGATGCACTCCTTGAGACCGGTTCCAAGCACAATCACATCGTATTCTTCATCCATATTTTCAGATCGATCAGATCAGGGACTGAAACTCGACAGAGAAAAGGAAAAATTGAAGACTCGATTTCTAGGGTTTTTCGAATTAGGGCAAATGAGTCCGACTCTATGATTGGGATGATTATATATGTATCTATATTTTTTTTTGCATCTAATGGCGAGAAAGAGAGAGAGAATCCGACATAATAGTTTAATTGTAATAGCAAATGGGAAAGAATATGCTTTGCTGAGGGGAGGAAGCAATGAAAAGTGGTTTCATGATTATTTGGTCCTCCAAAATGCATAAATATGTGAATTGAGCTTCTCTTTCACTTTATTTTGCCTTTTTTAAGTGGTCAATTGAGCTGGTTCGTTTCACACATTAAACTTGTATTTATGAGAAAAAGAAAAGCAATATGTTTGAATTGTTTCAAATCCTTAGTCCTAAAGTAATTGCACAATAACTTAGCCAATTAGGTGTGAGATTGTGTAATAGAAAACCCCTAACAAGAATTGCATTTGAACGTAATTAAATCGTTAGGAATAAGAGTGGCAATCGGACAAGGGCTATGGGTGGGGGTTGCGGCGGGGTGGGGCTGGGTTGGGGAAAATTTTTCCCCCTATTAAGAAACGACCCCACCACTCGCTAATATATATATATATATATATATATATATATATATATATATTTGTGTGTGTATATATATATGTTTATATATATATAATTTTTAATTTAATTAGTTACAAACTTATAATAGTAATATTATTAATTATAAGTATCATACAATGTATATTAGTATATGTAATACAATGTATATTAGTATATGTAATATAATTGATATTATCAATTATACTAATAATTATACATGTCTATTAATAAAAATTATTAATTAGTTATACTAAATTTATTTATATATTTATACTAAATTTCTAATTACACTTAACATAATAACATTTTTTCGAAAAAATACAATAATGACTTAATGATTGTATTTATTTCAAAAGTGAAATTTTGACTATTTTAGTTGTATTTATTCATCATGTTGAATTGTGTTCAAATAGTTTTGTTTGATTTTTTATGGATTTCAATTATGAAATTACAATGGATAATAATTGGTGATGTGTTAATATTTTAGTACTTAATTATTTGCTGAATTTGATTATAATTAAATTATTTGACAAATTTTTATTAATTCCATCAGTAACCTCGCGGGGAAGCAACGCGAGGCGAGAGCGGAGGGAAATAGTAGGCAACGAGGCGAGGGCAAGGGACCCCTTCTCCACTCCAAACCCGCCTTGTTGCCGTTCTTAGTTAGGAACCATAAATACATATCTCCTATTTACTTGGAGGTCCTATCTGCTTTTGCTCATGTACGTTTTAAACTTGTGCCTTCTGTAGCAATTTTTTGTTAAGTTTTTGTTTCAAGTTTTTTAACAACTTTAACTACAAAATCTCAAAAATTCCCCAATTTTTTAACATATACACCTCAAAATACCCAAAAGCGCACAAAATTTTTTTCCTTTCTTCTTATTCCTTTCCACACTTTAATCCACCACCATCTCCACCGCCGGCCGTCGGCAACCTCCTTTTTTCCCCTCATCCTCCTCTCACTCTTCTCTTCTACTCGATCAAAAGCCGTAGTAGGAAAGGAAGGGTGGCAAGCAGAAAGGAGGAGAGTGGAGGAGGAGGAGAGGAAGAAGGAAGGAAAAGAGAGGGAAAAGTAGAGGAGGAGGAGAATGGAAAAAAAAAAAAAAAAAGAGGACTGTCAATATTAGCTGGTGACGACAACGTTGCAAAGCGACAGTGGGAAGGAAGGGAGAAGGAAGAACAAAGTTGGAGTAGAGGAGGAGGAGAAGAAGAGAGGAAAGAAAATGAAAGAGAAAGAAAAGAAAAAAAAATTACGCACCTTAAAAAGTTTTTCTACAAATTTTACAATAATTTATAGTAAAATCTTATACAACATCCAAAAAATTTATTTGCCAAACAGGTCCTTGTTTTTATAAGTGAAGTCTGTAGACACCAGATTTTTCTTAATCTTAAGTTTACCATTTTTTATTTTTTGCTTATTTTCAATAAAAATTGCTTAAGTAATCATTAAAATTTTATTTTGTAGGTTTGTTCAAGAAAGAAAAGAAATCAAGGAAAATAACTCATTTTTCTTTAAACCCCAAACCCAATTCTTAAACCCCTAAAATAAACCCACTCAAAACCCAAATAAAGTCCAAACCAAAAAAAATCCATGCAAAAAAAAAAACGTTAAAGTAAAGAGGCCTGCCGGTCCATTTCTTTCCTTTCCCAAAAAAAAAGAAGAAGATTACCACAACATGCGCATGTTTCTTCTTTTTCATTGTTGCTGTTACATGTTTTGTACTGGAAATTTCATGGCACAATTTCTTCTTTGTTTTATTCTTTCTTTCTTTTTCTTTCTTTTCTCCCGAAGTTTGTTAGTACAAATACAACTCATCTCGTTGAAATCTTATTCTGTAACACCTAATAAAATTTATCAAAGGGTTAGGAAAAAAATACAACACCATTTTCTTGAAATTTCATCCAAATCCTTAGTTTTAGAGTTTTGTTTCTTTGCATGGGTTTATATAAATATGTTAATAAGGATGCTTTAGGGTCTAGGAAGGGATTTTCATTAGTTTCATTCATTAGAGAGAGATTTAGGGAGAGAAAAGAGAGATTCAAAAGGAAAAATTCCAAAAACTAGAAAAATAGGGTTGACTAACCAGCCCTGTTCGAATACAATTTCCTCCTTCATTTTAACTTCTTTTTCGATCGATTCTTTTTTTTTCTACATATTCTATAGATGTAGTAGAAGAACTTTTATTTTAAAAATTTCATGAAATAGCCACTTTAAAGTCACCAAATTTGACGTCAAAGTTAGGGAGAAATCAACCCTAGTACTCAAAACTCTAAGAACTTGGAGTCGAATCTATAGGTTCAAAATCCATTTGTTTTGGATCATTTTCGACTAATACATCCAGGTAGATGCTCTCAAAATTTGGTCCCTTTATTCTTTTCATTCGGATGCATGTTGGAGATTTTCTTTTTCATGTTTTGCCTTTTTAGTGGTCAAGAATGATGAAAACTCTTTTAGATGATCAAGACCTTAATTTTTTCTTGATATTTTAACCCTTGAACGTGAGAAGAATCTGTGGATGTCTTGTTTATACATTTAGATAGAGTTCTAAGCATGAAACATGAGTTGCATAAAATATTTTGTCTTGAAACTTGGTGTGGGAATGTTATGTTGGCTAATGAAGATGTAAATAGGGTTTTGCTTGGTTTTGATTTAGATTTAGGTTGGGCCTGTATGGGTTTTAAGAAGTTAAGTTTGTAGAATTTTGGCTAGGCTTATTTGATTTATTTTGTTTGGGTTTGTTATGGCTTATAAGAGTTGAATTGTGTAAGTTTATTAAAAGGGCAATCATGTTGCATTTTCATCTAGGCCAAAGTAGGGTTGCCAGATAGTTAGAATACTGGATACTTGAATTTGGACCTAATCTGTCAATACATTTGTGGAAAATTGTCCCAAACCTTTGATTTTTCTCCTTTTATCTTAAATTGAGTAGTTTAATTACTTTTGATGCATTCTTTGATAATTTTCTGGTTTATTGTAAATTCATTATTCTAATTATTTGTCTGATCTAACATGGGAGTTTCTAAAAAAAATAATAATAATAAAATATTTACTATTTGGCCCTAAGTTTTGCATAATCATGGTAAGGCCTAAAAATTGACAAAATGGATAAATTTCTTCCTTTAGAGTCTCAATCTCTTTTTTTGATGCCTTATGCATGTTTTAGTGAATTAATTTTGGTTTTTCAAATATAAATAGGGTTTAAATAAATTTGTTAAATTTAAATTTTCAATTTAGCAACTTTAGAGACTTATGTAAATAGTTTTGATTTGATAGCTTAAAGTTATTTTTGGTGATTGAATTAGGCTAGTTTTGAGTAGATTATGAATAATTGACTGGTAAAAACTGATTTTTACAAAATTTACATTTTGGCCTTAAAATTTTTGCCTCCACAACTTTTATTTTCTCACTTTAACCTAAGAATCTTTGTTTCATGTACGGAATGTTAGTTTATTGTTTGTTTTATGCCATTAGTAAGCTTCTTGTTAAAGGAATTAAGTTTTATCTCTAACAATTAATTATCAATTAAATTGGTGTCTTAATGCATTTGTTAATCTTGAATAATAGATAACCTTGTCCTTCAAAAGAGAAGTGCCCCTATTATCCTTTAAATTGTTATTATATGCTCTTATGTGCTTCTACGTATTTATATGTTTTTTTGTTTTTCTTTTATTTATTTATTTTAAACTTTTATCCATTTCTATGTTTGTTGATTTAATTTAAGCCTTGTAATTATTTGGAGGATACTCAAATACCCAAGATGTAATAGATAGGTTATATCTTTTTGTGCAAGAACTGTAATTAGATAGGTTCGAGTTTGTTTGGATAGGAGTTTATTTGGATGATTTATTTGAGATAATTACTGTAGCACTTTTTGTGATGTGATGTATGTGAGATAAAAAGGTGACTGGGAAAATAAAAAGGTGATTGAAATTTGTGAAGCAAATTATTTTATCTCAAATCATCTCTTCCCAAACACACCCTCTATTTTTACAAAAAAAAAAAATGTAATTAGAGAGCCAAATGTAATAAATAGGTTAAATAGGCTTATACTTTTCATTTTAAATTGTAGTTAGGGTCCCAATATAATAGTTAGGATATGTGTGCTTGTGTGTTTTTGTGCTTGTGTGTTTATGTTCGTGTGTGTTTATGAGTTTTATTCATTTTTTTAGGGTTTTGTATCTATATTATGCTTATGTGTCATGTGTTCTACGTGCTCTATGTGTTTATTTGTTTTGGTTATGCTTTATATGTTTTATTATTAAGCAAATTATTTTATCTCAAATCATCTCTTCCCAAACACACCCTCTATTTTTACAAAAAAAAAAAATGTAATTAGAGAGCCAAATGTAATAAATAGGTTAAATAGGCTTATACTTTTCATTTTAAATTGTAGTTAGGGTCCCAATATAATAGTTAGGATATGTGTGCTTGTGTGTTTTTGTGCTTGTGTGTTTATGTTCGTGTGTGTTTATGAGTTTTATTCATTTTTTTAGGGTTTTGTATCTATATTATGCTTATGTGTCATGTGTTCTACGTGCTCTATGTGTTTATTTGTTTTGGTTATGCTTTATATGTTTTATTATTAATAATAAATAATGAATGCATGATATTGCCACACTAGTCCAATGCTAGTTGCAATTTTTCTC